AATGAAATTAGCGGTGCAGCAGACAGGAAAACAAGTAAGTTGAGGGAGTGGGCCCTGTTAATGATCAGCTATATTTGAGTTAAAACAAGCCCTTGTGTCGAGTGTCCAGGATCACGTAAGGACTGTTATTTAGGGAGAGAGAAGCCATTAAACAATATTATATTTAAGTTCCTTAAATGAATGAATTACATTAAAAAGGGCCATAGACTTTGACTTGTAAGAGATTGATTGTTTACTGCTATAATATTTAATGAATTTCATCCACAATATCAGCGTGACCAACATTCTGACTGTGACACCAGTAAAACAACTAGAAACAACTTTATCTAAAGCCCTCACTTATATATACATAGTGATGCTAAGATATTCATTCCAAAGGTGATTTGCATTGTCTACATCTGCTCATTTAAATTTCAAAGAGGTGAATTCATAACAAATTTTTCAAAGTAAAATATTTCAATGCTAAGTATTTAGTAGCTGTTAAAATTCAAATATTTATCTCTTATTTACTTCCATACATCTCACTTGCAATGTATTTGAGGGCACTCCCCTTGCCTTTTTTTCCCTTTCTTTCCCTATAACCCCACTTATTATTTTGATTATTTGTTCTTTTCAAGCTGTGTTTTTTCTCACCTATCTTTTTCTCCCTCACACAGTTCCACACAGGCTGGCAGACGTAAAAGTTCAGCAAAGTTCAACATTTAGGAGGATTTATTGTCAGAAATATGATATTTATAGGTATGCTTTCATGAGTGTGTAATCACCTGAATGTAAGAATTGATGTGGGTTTTTTTTTACATTAGACTGATGTGTGTTTCTCTAGAGGGAGTGGGTCCTCTTTTATGGCGGAGTCCGCCATACAGTAGTCCAGAACATACAAACGAAACACTGGCTCTAGATAGGGCCTTATGCTTTTTTTGGCACCATAGTTTCTCCCCACACTTGGAAGGTGAGCGGTATTCAGTTGGTTGCAATCTGTAACTTCACAGATTGTGGCTAGATGCCACAAAATCTGAGCGAGTGCTACTGCAGTCAGATTATAGGAACCGTCTTGCTTTTTTTTTGTTCTGTTTTTTTGAGTTGTCGATGTTGTCTTGTCTTGTCTTGTCTTGTCTTCTTTGTCCAAGTTGCCCTGAAATTCTTATTTCAAAAAGAAAAGTTACAAAATAAAATGTAATAAGGCATCCGAGTACCTCACCTGGTAGAGCTTGCACCCAACATTCAAATCCAACCTGCGTCCCTTAGCTGCATGTCACCCCCTCCTGTCTTTCCCTCTTTCCTGTATATCTCCAACTGTACAAAAGAAGGTGAAAAGAAAACCATGGAAAATGAAAAGAAATATAATGGACCACTACTAAATGAAAAAGAGGCAGATATGGATAATGTCAGTGTTAATTCTGTTAGGCTGTAAAGAGAAACTAATGTACACAGACTTGCATTGAGTCATCTGGCTGAGCACAGAGGTGCGCACAGAGAGAGCTGGCAAAAAAACCACACTGTTCAATAAAACACACTGTGGCATGTTGGCATTTCACACTGTGTGTGGCTGAGCGAGTTAGGTGAGTGTGTGTTAGTGAGAGAGGGGGGTAAGCATGTAGAGCATCTCACCTCTACATTTACGTTCACTCATGTGTGAAATGTCACCTGCAGAGATGTCACATGTGGAATCTAACACCGCATTGTACCCCACTATATCTCTCTCTCACTCTCTCTCTCACACAGAC